GAGATCCCCGAGATCTCGTCCATTAACCGCGCGTCTAGCGATCCGCGAAAGCGAAACACGCTGTAAAAGGGGAGGGACGGTCACGCCACGGCGCCAAGGCGGCTCTTCGAGCTCTCGGCTCTCGAGTAGCATCGCGGGCGGAACGCTTCCTCGGGAGAAAAAGAGAGAGAGAGAGAGAGACGCTCCTCCATTATCGTAATTTGCAAATTTCCCCGGGACCGCGATGAAAAACGACGAGGAGAAGAGGGAAAGAATAAAGGAGAGGGCGAAGAGCGCTACGGGGGTGGAAAGAGAAGAGAGGAGAGAAGAGAACGACCGAGGAGGCTCGGCGAGAAGAGAGACCGATGAAAAAGGGGAGAACGAGACGGGGAAGGGAATACAGGGAACCGCGAAGACGGTGGCGGATTGGCGGCCTCAGGCGCGGTTGCGGATTCTCGGCGTGATGCCGGTGATTCGCGGCTTTGGTGCCCAGTAATCCTGCGGCTCCCCGTCCCCCTCCGTCCCCCCCTCTCCCCCGCTATACCCTTCCCTCCCTCGTGGCCCGGCCACGATATTCCACCTCCTCCTCCTCCCTCGTCATCTTTGATGCGACGCGGCAATATGCCGGTATGCGGGGGCGGGACAGGGGGCTCTCAATCTCGCGGTAAACACAGCAATCGCTCGCGATGTGCCGTCCGCATTAATATAATTAGTCACCGCGAGCGATACGCGATACGTGGGGTTGGGAGGGGGAGAGGGGGAGAGATTCCGCTGGAGAGATCTCGCCCTCTCGCTTCGGGCGCCGAAATATCTTGGCATTAAGGATATTTCGGGGGATGCAGGGTACACGTCGGCGACGTGTGCCCCGAGGCACACCGCCACGCTCGTCCACGACAGAAGTCGCCGTCTCCTGTCCGATGTTTTTGTCCATCAACCGATTATGCTCCGTGCCTCGTGCGCGGCACTCGTTCCACAATCCTCCCCGCTTCGCGGAGGAGCTACGGTTTAAATGTTAATTCGGCGTACATGTATGTGTGCGTGTGATATAAAGATCTCGTGTTTTTTCCCAGCATGGCTCCGAAGAAAGCTGAGGAACCTGAGCGGAAGCCGCTCATCGGTCGCGTTGGCACCAACTTGAAAATGGGCATAGTCGGTATACCAAATGTAGGAAAGTCAACTTTCTTCAATGTTCTCACCAAGAGCCAGGCGGCGGCTGAAAATTTTCCCTTCTGCACCATCGATCCTAATGAAAATAAGTATCTTGATATATCTTCAATCCATTTCTTTTGTTTATTTTTATATTTAATATTAATATATAAATATAAGACGAAAATTAAACAATAATAATACTAATACTGCTCGTGTGTTGCAAAGCAATAATAAAAATTCTAGGGCCAATACGAGCTAATTACTAAGGTCTAAATAAAATAAAATCAAATAATTATAAGTTCGTTTAATTAAATAATCACAAAAACGTTTCGACTTTACTTGACTGAGGAAGACTAGGTAAAGTCGAAACGTTTTTGTGATTATTTAATTAAACGAACTTATTTGTTTTTATTTTATTTAGACCTTAGTAATTAGCTCGTATTATTGGCCCTAGAATTTTTATTATTGCTTAATATAAATAACTCTTTTGTTTTTCTCCTTCTCTCTCTATGAATAATTATTTTTATTTTATTCGTACTAATCTTTTTCATTCTATTGACCACATAAATTTTCTTATTTATTTATTGCACATTTATAACGAAATAATAATTTAAATACAGGGTATATAACGTGTAAAGTATATAATGTGTAATTTTATTTAATTATTATTTAATTAATATAAGTAATTCTTTGGTTTTTCTCTTTCTCTTTCTATCGATAATTTTTATCTCATTCTAATCAATCAAACTTTTGATTTTATAAATCAACCACATAAAGTTTCTTATTTATTTATTGCACATAAATGAAATAATAATTTAGGTATAGTGTATGTAAACAATTTCGACTTCGCTTGTTTAATCTTGCTTAAGTTTATATGCAAATGACATAATATCGAATTTAAAATTAATTATTTATGCAAGTTACTAGAAAATTATTTTAAAATGTGCGAGAAGTTCTTAAAAAAATCAGTACAAGAACATGTGGAAAAATTATTTGTCGATGAATCACTTAGCAAGAAAAAGTCCTTTTTGCAATTAACCAAAGATCTTTCGGATTGTTTACGAGATATTCCTGCACCATCGACAATCAAATATCCAAAAGCCAATCTGTATTACGCTTCTGCCGAAGATATACATCCAGCAAAAAGGATTATTAGCGCTTCCAAGTTTTTTGACGAGCAAAAATTTGTATCGCATTTTGCATGTAAGGAACGTTTTATTAATCAGGATTCTAATTTAGAAGATGAAGCTGTAAATTATTATCTTAGAACGGAACCACCGAGTTTCGTTATTTTCGGAAAACCAGGATTACATCGTAGGAACTTGGCCTTAGCAATAGCCGATATTTGGAACTGTGTTTTTATTTCGCCCGTATCGTTAGTTCAGCAAGAGATCGACGCTGGAACCGAGAAAGGCCAATATATGGAAAGGATTTTACGGTCCGGTAAATCTATAAAGCCTAATATCACTATGAATTTGATACGATACAGGATCAAGAAGAGAGATGTCAAACACAGAGGTTACGTTATTGAATGTTTACCATTTATTCCTAGTGTAGACGATATGAACTTTGACAGTTCATCGAGGCCTATTGTAAATATGGATGGCACTTGTCCAGAATTTTGCGAAACCACGACAAGTGAAGAGAACTGCGAGGCATATGAAGATTCAATTACACCTAACAATATAAGATATGAGACGCAATATAAATACGAGCTAGAAATCCGTCGACAGATTGATGAAATGTTTCTTACATGGCCGAGAAAACCTGTGATTATTATTTATCTTGTATGTCCAAAGCGAGATGTTATGAGTAGAAGTGAACATTGGCGTATAGACCTTTCTACAGGAGATATAATCGATACAAATGAATTTGCGCGTCCATTGAACGACGAATCGGACACTTCGTACGATTTTTCTCAAGTTGCAAACGAATCAATTACGGATAATAGAAGATTGGTAAACCGTACATTTGGGGTTGAGATGCAATGTGAGCTTTACGAACGATTGGCGTTACCAGTAATCGACAAATGGGTCCTCGCGCACGATCCTCAATTTGTAATCCGTGTGGATGGTCGTAGCTCGACGCGACGGATACTTCAGATCCTCAAAATACGTTTATGCACTTTAGCATTGCAGCCGTCGATCCTTCCAAAGAGGATGATTGTACAAGATGATGCACATTTTCTGGAAACACCTGCAAAAATAAACTCAAAAAGATCTACAGAAGAAGTCTTCGAGGTTCTGAGGCAAAGAGAAGTCGTGTCACCCGCGTTTCCCTGGAAACTTTCTGCGTGGAAGTTTTATTGCCCCGTCGCATTAGCCCAAGGACGAACCATGAAGGGATTGTCGAAGCACGCGGTAAGATTTTTGAATAAGATTTTTTTTCTATCTTCTGAAGAAGCTGCGAACTTGTTTATCGAAAATCCGCGAACGTTTTTATTGCCACCAAATCCACGACCAGCCTGCAAAATTGCGATATTTGGACCCAAGTACGCTGGCAAATCGCAACTTGGTGCCAGATTGGCGGAGGCTTTTGGCGGAACAGTGATAAATGTTGATGGGATTATGACAAAATTAATTAAACAGCGTGAGGAGTCTTTGAATCAAAAGAACGATTCGAATGTGCAAATTTCATTAGAGCTTATCGATAAATCTGTCGACGAAAAGGCCGATATTATTGTACAGAATATTAAAGAAATACCCGATCTGAAATTGGAAGATGAATTACGAAGGGACGGTGGATATGTCGTGGACGGAATGTGCGTGAATGTTGAAATCTGGCGAAAAATTATCGATGCTGGCATTGTATTTGAACATATCATCGTTTTGTTCGAAAACGAACCGTACGACTACCTGCTGAATAAATTTCGCAATTTTTTTTATCTTGATAATTCTGTGCGCAAAATAGATTACGATATAGAGGCGGGTCAAGAAGAATATAGAATGTTGCGTGAAAATGCAGAACAGGACTATCTTGAACATTTAACACGATTCGCATCGGAATGGATAAAATTTGAGAAAGAAATCCTCGAATTTGAAGGACATCTAATAATATGTAATCTTGCAGATATTCAAGATGCAACGGAATACGTTATAAATCATATCAAAAGCCGCTTCAATGTCTCTGTAAACGCCAGAGAAAAAGATCAAGAGAACGAAACCCAACGGGAAGAAACAGCAGCTGTAGAAATGGAAACAAATTTAGCTACTGCAAATGCTGAAGAAAGAGGAAATGTCATCGACCTTGAAACAGCGGAACAACTTCTCAATTGCGGCTACTTTTTTTTCAGCGCCTTCGGACGATGGTGTCCTGTGCAAGTGTACACCAACAAAATTCCTGTTCAGATGTTTCTACCGATGAAAGCTCGCGGCCGGATTTTCCCGGTTATACGTCATCCCTATATCTATTTTCTTGCCGGCGAAGAAGCGCTTTCCTTATTTCTGAATGATCCCTCCAAGTATCAGACGCTCGACTCCCGTCTATCGCTTATTCCGCTTCGAATCTCCATCATCGGGCCACCGAAGTGTGGAAAAACAACGCTGGCGAGTCGTTTCGCGAAAACGTATGGCATGAAGATAATTACTCCCCTCAAAGCAATGCGTCACATGTTGAAATACTATCCTTGGACCGAGTCAGCGCGTAAGATTGAAGACGAGCTTCGAGCCGGGCGGCCTGCTTCGATCGAATCCATAACGCGTGCCATAGAAATGTTTTCCATAGGGCCACGTGCAGCAACTCAAGGTTATATTCTAGATGATTGTCCTTCGAGTCGTCAGGAAGCCGAGCAACTGGCTCTTTTGGGGATGCAGCCGATGATCATATTTGATCTGAAGGCGGATTTCGAGTTTTGCCTCGAATGTCTCTCTTGGGGTAATCACGTGGAAGCAGAGGAGTCGGTAAATTTCTCTGTCGATCCTTTGTCGCAGCGTTACGAGAAGTGGCAAGTGGGTCAAGCGAGTTTTCGAGACTGGCAGAAGAAGTTCTCGCAAAACGTCATCGAGCTGGACGCTACTAAAAGCAAGTGGTACGTTTGGACTCGCGCAGATCACGCGATGCGCTCCCGATTCGCCGACGTTATCCTTTACTTTAATGAGGCGGATCTGGAGAAGGTTCACAGTCTGAAGCACATGTGCGTGTCACCTTTCGAATTTCGATGGCGACAGAGTCGATACGAATCGTATTGTCCCGTTTGCTTGCGTCTTGAGAAACTCTTGAAAACCTCCGGCCGATTAGTGGATAGTTCAGGAATGGTACAGTTTAGGGAACACTTCTATTGGATATGTCCGCAACATATAGATGCTTTCGTCGAGGATCCGCTGCAGTACGTTTCACCTGCCAATGAAACGTCTCTTCTCGACGAACGACCACGAATACTCGAGGAGGTGGCTGATGCAGAGCACGCTTGCTGGGCGCAACGTCTTCAAGTCGGCGGTTTATGCCCGGTAACTTACGTCGATGGTCTCCCGGATCGCAAGCTGATGCAAGGCAGATCCGATCTGGGTGCTATCTTCAAAGGTAAAGTATTCCTTTTCTGCAGCGAAGAGTGTCGTGAAAAGTTCCTCGCGCAGTACTACAAGTACATTGAAGCGGATATTCCGTTTCCTCGCGAGGTCAAAATGCTGTCAGATATCGATTTCTTGGAGCAAACGATAGCGAGAGTGCTGGTCGAAGCTGTGAATCTAATCGCTGTTTGTCGGCCGAAGATATTCGGTTTATCAGCGGCTGTAAGCGCAGCTATTTACATCGGCGTCTACCTGAAGAGGCATAATACGTCCGAGAAGTTACGCGAGATGGACATTTACGAGGTTGTGAGCGAACGAATGGCAGGACAACACAAAATTATAGAGATTGTCACTAATACCATGAAGAAAAAGATTAATCCCTATGTATCCTTGCCCAAATATCCCAGTTAAATTACATTACACGCCACGTTCGTCGACGTATTTATCTGTCAATTATCTTTAAGTACGTTTCAGGATAATCGTTATTAATCGTTCTAACATTGTTGGAGCTATCTACTTGCTTTTTGTTCCAGCACGTCGTGTTCCGGTACCCGATGCGAGATTCGACTATCTCTGCGAATATTTTAAGCCAGCTAGGTAAGAGGCAGTGAGGAACGTTCTTGAAATACGTTGACGTAGCGGATAAATGTGTATAGCGGAATAAAAGCATATAGTACACCGCCTACAAATGCACCGTTGTGAAGGGAAACGAGTCGGAATAACCGTGGGACATTTCCATACTTCTTCGCTTTTATTCTCGCAAGACGGAAATAGGGAGCCAGGGGGCGATCTGCAATGCAGATCGGTCTGAAATTCGTCTACGAAACGCGAAGTTTCCGTATTCATCGGTGCTACACATTCTTTATTCGCGTTACTACGTGATGCAGCATTCTTAAACGCGAATGACATCAACGTTAGATTTTTTTAAAAATAAAATTATCGAAAAAACAACGTACTTCGAGGATAATATACAGGGTTGGCAAAAAACGTTTTTTTTTCTTTTAAACAAAAAACGTTTTTTTTTTGTTTAAAACAATGTTTTATTTGTGTTTTTAAATAAAGTAAAAAAAAACGTTTTAAACAAGCAAAAAACGCTTAATAACTTTGATCTGTGTAAATATTTAAATTTTTCGCTAGCGTTAAACTGTAAATAACGTTGCCAAAATTGACAATGCTATTAAAAATATAATTAATAAAATAAAAATGATAAGATGGGTATTATTTTAGCAGAATATTTATTTTTGGATATTAAATAACAATCAATACAATAAAGATTACTTAGAAGATATTGACTGACCTTACATTTTACATTTATCATTTTAAATCAATAGTACATAACTCAGCAGGTCAGTAGTTCTAAAAAAAAGTTCTAGTTAATAATATTTAATATATAATACTTTGGTTCCTTTCCTATTCTTAAGTAGCCTCATACTTAAATCTCAACGTAAATTCTAAATAAAAGAAAAAAACCTTAATTCTTCTTTTTAAAAGAAGAACTTTTTTTTAAAACTACTGACCTGCTATGAGTTATGTACTATTAATTTAAAATGTTAAAATGTAAAATGTAAAGTCAGTCAATATTTTCTAAGTAATCTTTATTGTATTGATTGTTATTTAATATCCAAAAATAAATATTCTGCTAAAATAATACCCATCTTATCATTTTTATTTTATTATTTATATTTTTACATCTATATGTTACATAAATATAGATAAAAAACTAAAAACACTAAAACAAAAACTTTTTTGCAACATGCACATCTATTAATTTTTGTTTGTTTTCAATTTTTGTTACAATTTCTTTTTCAAATAATCATATATTTTATTTGCGATATTTTAAACGGTTCTAAACAATAATTTAAAACAGTTTAAAACAAAAATGTTTAAAACAGTGGATACTGTTTTAAACAAGTTTTAATCACACAGTTTTAAACACATTGTTTAAAACATGCCAACTCTGATAATATAATATTGATTTCAAGGGAAAGCTGTAGCAATATTTGATTATGATTGTGTTTGGTGTATTTCAATCTTTTATTATTATTTATTTATTTTTCAATCCATCTCTTCGGCTTTGGATAAGAATGAAAATCAAGACAATTTTTATTATTCATTGATTTCTTAAAATTAAAATTAAAATTAAAATTAAACTTCAGTATTAAATATTACAATTTAATATTAAAAACAAGACGAAAATTAAACAATAATAACACAAATACTGCTCATGTGTTGCAAAGCAATAATAAAAATTCTAGGGCCAATAATACGAACTAATTACTAAGGTTTAAATAAAATAAAAACAAATATTTATAAGTTTGTTTAATTAAATAATCACAAATTTAAAATTTAAAATCCAAAAACCGAATATAGAAACTGAAATAGACTCTAAAATAAAAAATTAAAATTTAAAAAATGTCAAACAATAGACTTAGAATATATCTATCAGTCTCATGTGCAAGAACGTAACGATTCTCTTTACTTGACGAGTCGAGAGTTAGCAGTTAATAAAACTCCTCGGTCGTGCGCCTTTCGTCACTTTGCAAATAATCGAATGGAAATCGTGCTTGCCTGGCGAGCGGATTCGACGTGAATCGAAGCATTGAAAATGCGAAACAGCGCCGGATCAAAGAGCGAGTCGATTCATCCGCGGCCTCTATAGCCCGCCCTATTATCGTATCCCGCGTACTTGTCGTCTCGTTGAAATCGTGTCGGAGCTCGTCCCGACCTCGACTACCGGCACGTGTCGGATGATTCGACGATCCGTGATGAAAGCCGGCTAATACACACCGTCTCTCCCCCCGCTGCCCCCCCATCCAGTGGCCCGTCCACTTTCACCGACGCCTCCCTTCAAAGGCTAATTGTTTAATGAGCCCGCTGGCATTAGCATTTAAATACACCTCGTTGTCACTGTCGTCGTCGTCCCCTCCTCCTCTCCTCCCTGTTGTCATTCTGCGCGCGTGCATCACGTGGCATATGCCTCCGACCTTTATAATCGCGATCATCCGTGATCTCCGTTTCGAAGGGAATCAACGTGTGGATGCGAAGAGCGAAATAATACCGTTCGCATGCAACGACTGATCATACATTTGCGCTCAAAAGTAAATATTTAGTCTGACGCGATAATTTATTGCTATTTGTTATCGTTGAAATATATTAAGTTCTATTATTGTTTTGTGAAATTCAAGAAATTTATTAACAAATTATATTAGATACTAATTAAAAACTAAGTTCCCGCCGTTTTTTACTTGAAAAATGCATTTATTTCAATAAGAAAATGAATTAATATATTAATCAAAATTATATATTAATAATATATTAATATATTAATCAAATAATATATTAATATATTAATCAAAATATAATCCTTTGTTTTCTATGACTTTTTCCTATTTTTTTTGCAAAAGTTGGATTCCGCGACGATAGAACGTCTTGTTTTCTAAAGCAATTTATTGATCGATGCATTTTTGGACTTCTTCGTAATTGGAGAAGTGTGTATCGGCGAGCACGTTGCATTGATAGGAAAAGATGATAATCCGATGGGGCCAAGTCTGAAGAATAGGTTGGTGGAGGAGAACTTCGCATTCGAGCTCCAATAGTATTTCTTTTACGATTCTTGCAATATGAGGTCGCGCGTTATCATACAAAAGAATCATTTTATATCGATTACTGGCCTTTTTCGCATCAATTCAATTCAATCAGTTTAATTCTTGTTGGTAGTGATCAGCCATGACTGTTTCAGAAATCAATCGATGAGCTTTAGCTGCAGTTTTACTTAAATCAAAGCAGTGAAGAAATGTCGGAAAAACAACTTATCACGTTTCATTTTAAGGATGTTTTGTACCTATTTTCAAAATATTGAGAATTCAATGAAAATTGTACAGAATGTCCTTACATATATTTAGAATCTTCAGCACAATTTTTAAATCGATTCACTAAAGCATTCACAAGTTATAAGGATTTTAATTTGCACCGAATTAACATGTGTTCTTATAGAAAACGTATAATCACGTCGATTCAAATGACAAAAACACATGGAAAAAAATTCAGAATTTGTTTAAAATTTGCAAAAGTTTAGATACAGAGGAAATATTTGGTCAAATAATATTATACAAGTACTAACTGGTTAAAAAGATATTAAATATAATTGAAGTTAGCCATGTATCTGTCACAAGGCGAAATTCTCTGCCAAAAGTTAATCATTTCGATTAACAAAATTCGGAATATTTCAGTAAAAACGCAATAAATATTAAAAAATATGTCTCTGCACTGTAGCTAAGATTAAATTGTAATATTCCACACAATTTCTCATAATACACTAAAAGTGGATATTTGTCAATATTGATTTTCAGCTACTTTTTGCTGGGATTGTACATACAAAACATCCTTAAATCGATTAAAAAATATATTTCTTTCACAAAAAATGAATCTTTGCGCACTCAATTTTATTGACAAAGCCTAACTTTACTACATTTGCAGCTGGAGCCATTTAATTATGAGCAGCGGAAACTTAGTTATTCCTAATACATGTACGGTATTTAATCATGAAAGTCATCTGTATCATTTTTCAGTGTATTTTTTGTATCTTTCAGGTAAGTTCTATACTTGCAATGAATTCATGATGTTGCACGCATTGTCCGAAGATTTAGAAATATCGGAGAAGTAAGAAAACGATTTGATGAATTTATCTTAAATAGAAACTTTTAATTGATCCGAAATCTCTGCAACTTATCTGAAAGGTGGAAGAGAGCGCTGAAAAATGATTACTTTTATGATTGAACTGTACATGTATTTCTTAATAAACACTTAATCTCATAAAATATAGTGGAAAACTTATTTATACACTTATTGTACGATTTACTTTCCTGTCAAAAATATGCGTAATTATAAATTTGGATTTTTTTCTAGTAAAGTTCCGGCCTTCCTGCACGTGATGGACATTGCAGGATTAGTAAAGGGTGCTGCTGAGGGACAGGGCTTAGGAAATAACTTTCTCTCTCACATTGGAGCTTGCGATGGCATATTTCATCTTTGCCGTAAGTGCTATCTATAACATCGTTGTTCGTTATTTGTCTCCCATTTATATCCCGTTTTAATGTTTGCGCTAACGTACGGAGCGTCCCTGCGTAAATAAATGAATCGCACGTGTATTTCGAATACGGAAATCGCAATAAAAGCGATTATAACGAGAAATTTTTGTCGATGAGATGGAGAGATTAGATTCTGAACTGATTTATTTATTTACTTCGCGTGTACTCGTTGAACGTATAGTCGCGGACGCGAGCTTATTTTTACGACACACATACATTTATCCTGCTGGTTAACACGTGCTGCGAACACGTGTTATGATCATCGTTAACTATTTTCCTGGAAGTGCATTACATTATTGTTCTTCACAATAATGCAAATCGTCCTATGCTTATCTCTTGGCAGGTATATCTATGTACAGTGTTTGCTGTAGATAATTTCAAAATTATCTAGATAAAGATAAAGATAAAAATCCGTAAATTTATCTTAGATGAGATAAAGATGATTTTGCTTTTATTTAATCTAGATGAAAGAGATGATTATTGCGATAATCTAGATAATTATCTAGATATTTTTGTTTATTTTATAAGACTATAAATATTTGTAAAAAATGTGAGGCAAATTATAAATGGGATATTAAAATCATAAACATATATTCTTTCTCTTTTCCTAAAGAATATTTAAATAATAACAAAAAAGTATATAAATGATATGATAAATATTTATTTATTAATTTATATTTATATATTTATAATATATTTATAATATAATATAATAATCAATGTGTAACAATACATATATCATTTTTATAAAATATACATTAATGCACTGCACAAATTTAAGTAAAACAAGTACAAGATAAAGTATATTTGTAATATTATTTTCCAAATAAATATATTTTAGATATTTTAGATAGATTTTTAGAAGCTTGCATGGAAAACTCTTTTGCATAATGAAAATGTCATCTTAGATAATTTTTAGATAAGATGACATATTTTTTATTTAAGATAAAGATAAAGATACTTTGTATTTCTTCATCTAGTTAAAGATAAAGATGATCCATATCTTTATCTAGATAATTATCTAGATAATTTTATCTAGATACCAGCAAACACTGTCTATGTATCATATAAACAAATAGAATAAAAATTAAAAATTGAAATAAAAATATACAAAAAATCCTATTTGTTACTCACAATTTGTATTTTGTTGCTAGTGGATATTTGATGTGAAATTTAAAAATTATGTTAGAGTTTTTGGCCTCTTTGTAGCAAACATTCAATTGGAAATTGAGGAATTTAATTCAGATTTCTTTTTTGTGTGACAATATTTTATAATTCATCACATATAATAAAATCTACGGTATATCCGCAGAAGTGATTAACACACATACTTAACATCATTTTAATGTAACACATAGTAATTCACTAAATAGGTGTTGATTCGTTCAGGGGGAACCGTGCGATTGTTAGGTATATATTACATTCGTACTGAGAATAACATTTTCGAGGTACTTTTGCCGGTTAATACGTCTTGGCAGACCGCCGACAGGTGGTAATTTTTTCAATTAAACCGACCCGGCAATTTTCGCGTGGCGGCAGCTCGCTTAAATAGTCGACATGCGAGCTTCGCATTCAGGCGAATGTTACAATATTTCCAGTGGCAATTCCAACTTAAATACTTTTTTATACTCGAGATCTATTTATTCGTATTTTTTTCAGGTGTCTTCGAGGATGACGATGTCACTCACGTGGAGGGCGATGTCAATCCCGTGAGAGATCTCGATATTATTAGCGAGGAGTTACGATTGAAAGATATCGAATTCTTGAATACGCATCTCGAAAAGCTTGAGAAGCTTGTAATTCGTGGTAATGATAAGAAGCTGAAACCTGAATATGTAAGTAATTATATTTCATACACACAAGTAATAAAGTAGAATAATTTTTTTGAGGAAGAAATCAGCTTCGATATAAAAATATTGTTTAATAAAAATATTATTATAATAATATTAAAAATATTATTAAATAAAAATATATATTATTAAATTACTACTTATTTATAGTTATTATATATATTATTAAATAAAAATATTATTATAATAAAAATATTTTATAAAAATATTATTTTGACGATTAAAAGAGTATATGTACATAAAGCTGTTATTATGAAAATTTTGTATTATTTGAAACTATCTTTTTATTCTTAAAAATTATCTTTAATACATGTTATACATTTTTACATTTTTTTTACATTTTTTTACATGGAAAACCTGTACTGTATATTTTGCATTATAATCGATATGACGTAACTGACTCCTATATAGTGACATATATTAACTGCGTTGTTTGAGCTATCGCGATAATTCCGTAGGAAAATGCAGATGTTTCGAAAATTGCTGTTCTTAACAACGTTTATGCACGCCCAATCGACCCATTTTCATCGATGCGTAAATAAAAGCTCGTTAAATGCGGACAAACAAACGCGATATCGCACTGGATTCAAATCACACGATTTGCGTTTGATGCGCTCGTTTATCTTTCTCTTGATATAACGGTTCATTGTTTATCTATTTATGCATTTCTGTCAGGTATTATACAGTTATATCGTGAAGAACATTGAGCATATATCTTATAATTTTGGATATTTTAAATTATAAAGACACATTTTTTCTTTGATTATATTATTTCCAATCAATCTCATTAAGCATTATTTGTCACAAGAACAAATAATATAAGAATAAAATAATATATAATATAAAATATATATATAAATATATAATAAAATATATATATAATATAAAATAAAATAATATAAAAAATATAAAAATAAAAATAATACAAAATAAAAAATAATACAAAATAAAAATAATTAAAAAATAATATAAAATATTTCTTTTTTTATTCTTCCTCATTTAGTGTTCATACACTAGGATATTTATAAAAGATTACAATATTTTGAAAAGATATAAACAGTAATAATTATCTTAACTTATATGATAAAGATTATGTTAAATATTATTTTAAGCAATTGTGTTCAGTATTAGAAAAAAATTGTCAATAAAATCGAGGCAAGACAATATAAGATAAGATTTAAGTTTTCAATACCAATACAATATTTTTAGAATATTGTTTTAAGTCTTGGGCAACCCTAGTTGATACGTGACGCATGAACGTTTAGCAAGTACAGTTACAGCCCCCTCGTCAAGACCAACTACAAAATTACCGAGAAAATTAAGAGAACGCGGGCGAAGCAAAGAATTCCTGGAACGAGTCGATCGTTGGATTACCCTCCTTCCGTGGATTGACCCATGGCAATTACCCATCTCCCTCTCGTTCTCGACTTTGCAATTTGGCAAAAGTTTTCGAGAATTCGAAGCTACCTTTTCGTCTCTTCTTTCTCTTTCTCTTGATAGAATTAATGGGATCACGCGTGCTTGGCTAGCCAGTACGATCCTCTAATCACGATGCGATCGCAAAATTATCCTATTCAATGGTCCGCGTTCGTGCATCCTGAATGCCTGGCGAAATCGATGAATGACGAAGTCGTTGCAAGATACAAAACAGTTACGCAATAGAAGATTCAATAAAAATTTTTAATTTAATAAATTATCTTAATATCACTAATCAGTTAATCAAAGGATCATTGGAAATAATGTAATCGATCAAAACTAGCCAGAATTTTTGTTTATTAATTACTAAAAAAAATTAATTATTAAAAAAATTTTATTTATTAATTACTAAAAAAAATTAATTACTAAAAAAATTGTTCATCTAAATTTTGCAGGAAACGCTTTTGAAGGTGAAGGGGGTTTTAACGGATGACAAGAAACATATCAGGTTCGCCGATTGGAGTAGCAATGATGTGAGTTTAAGCAATTTGGATATTTCTGTATTTTATTTATTAAAAGTTTTCTTTAATTTCATATTTTATTTTACAAGAAAATTTTTCTGAAATTTCAGGTCGAGGTACTGAACAAATATTTGTTTCTCACGTCAAAGCCAATTCTATATTTGGTGAATCTGTCAGAAAAAGATTACATACGCAAAAAGAACAAATGGTATACATTTTATAAATAACGATTAAATAAATATTGCCACCTAGTATTATTACTTTATATAAGTCTGTTACATTTTTTTATTTATTTAACAGGTTAATCAAGATAAAGGAATGGGTTGATAAGAATGATCCGGGTGCGGTGTTAATTCCGTTCAGCGGCATCTTCGAAAACAAGATTCTTGACATGGACGAGGCGGAACGCACAAAATACTTCGAGGAACACAAAGTCACCAGGTTGGTATCAGCTCCCATGGTCCGTTATAACGATTATTATGTTTATCCTGTGAATGTTTGTGGCTTGTGTCGCGCTCGCAAATGAGAGGGTTTAACCGTACGTCCCTTCCCGCCACCTTCCTTGAATCCGGTGAGATTCGCATACGTCGCACGTGAATTTACCAGTCGGCGAGGAAGCACCGCAAGATTGTAGGAAAAAAAAATTAGACGTAAAATCCGGCGAAAGCGTCCCTCCTCCTCAACCAAACTCGAGTTCCCACACATTTAGCTATGCACCGAGTTATCCTCTAACGGTAATAATAATGTGGTTGGGGTCCAGCCAGCGTCTAGACTCCGTCCCACTCTCACTTCTACGTGGGTCGGCTAATAAAAACCGTAGCTTCGACGTGGCACATTATATTTTTACGAACGGCTATTCAAATTCTTGCAAAATTGCATAAAAACTCCCGCTCTCGCGGGCATAATCGAGGAGGTGGGTGGAGCGAGAGAAGTAATCGGTTCGGAGGTTCGGCAATTCGATCAGTTAGTGGATCATTCGTACCCCAGGGCTCCCTTGTATTGCACATGGTAGATTCGTGTAACTTGCATATCTACAGGGTGGCCCCGAACGTTCCAGCCGGACTTTGAGATCTTATAGGAAATTTAATTCTGAACAAAAAATTTCCCATAAACATGAGTCGAAAAATGCTTCCTCAAGAAGTTATTGCTCAAAAACCTTTGATAAAGGAAGAGCATAAGGTGAAAAGAAAATAAAACTAAATAAATTTCGTAAAAAAACGATAAAAATAAAGAATAAAAATCTTTTTCTTTTATGAAAATAAAATAAAAGTTAGTTAAAAAAAATTATTTTATTACTATAAAAGAAAAAGATTTTTAAATAAAATTGATAAAAGATTTTTATTTTTATCGTTTTTTTCAAGAAATTTATTTAATTTCATTTTATTTTTATAAAAGAAATATTTTATTTTTATATTATATTATATTATATTATATTTTATTATATTATATTTTATTTTTCTAAAAGAAAACGATTTTTAAATAAAATTGATAAATAGATTTTTATTTTTTATTTTTATCGTTTTTTTCAAGAAATTTATTTAGTATTTTTTTTATTTCACTTTCTTTTCATCTTTTGCTCTTCCTTTATCAGAGGTTTTTGAGTGATAACTTCTTAAGAAAGCATTTTTCGACCCATGTTTATCGGAAATTTTTTGTTCAGAATTAAATTTCCTATAAGATCTCAAAGTCTGGCTGGAACGTTCGGGGCCACCCTGTATAATCTCATAATCAACCTCATTAAGCTATTGTCTATTATATATCTAATATTAAAAAATATCTTAATAAATAGAAAAGAAACATAAGTATTAGTAAATATTTAGCGATAGAAGATAATAGAATTTAATAGAAGAAATAAAGAGAAATATGAAGAAAATAATAGAAGAAATAGCGAAATAGATTTGAGATATTTCCTACGATTTATGTTTTGGTTGAGACTCTCATAGTGTGAATAGGAGAGAATCTACAATACCTAAATTTGCTTAATGATCGGAGGATACAAATGGAGGGACGAAAGATACGGTGATTTTATTTTGAGACCGCAGATATAACTGAGGCGCCGCTGGAATAGGTCTCCGCTAGAGTTAGAATGATAAAATTGCGGTATTAAGTCGTTCGCCTTTATGTGTATTCTCTGAACTCTGGGACTTTCATCAAGCCCATCGCGCGTTCCACTTGCGCTAACCCGTCATTAGACGATATTTGGCCCGAGACAATCTTATTCCACAATGCGGCGCACTTCTTGAACGCGGACGCGCATTATTTTTTTATAATTCGAAAAATAAAAAATGTGTGTTGTGTGTTGTTTGATAACAAATAACTCACCTATTTTTCAGTAAGTAAACATCCTTTCTAATCTCTTATGTCTTAATCTATATTTTTTCTTGTTTAGTGCGCTTGACAAAATTATTGTACAAGGATACAAGGCGTTAAACTTGCAATATTTCTTTACGGCCGGTCACGATGAAGTTAAGGCATGGACAATCCAAGTAAGCACAGATAAGAATTAAGATAATGAAGGAAATGTAATAAATAGAGTGTAATAAAGATTGTATATAATTGTTTATTAGATTACATGATAAAATTTTATATTATATATCATATTAAAATAAGAATATATATAATTAAATATATATAAAGAATATATATATATATATATATATATATATATATATATATATATATATATACACACACAGGGTGTCCCAAAAGTCCCGGACCGGTCGAATATTTCATAAACTATGCACTTTAGAAAGAAATGTTTCAGACAAAAGTTGTATGGCTTGAAGGGGGCCATCAGATAGTGGCAATGATTTGACATGAGAGAGTCATTTGTAAGTCACGTGAAGATCACCGTCAATTTCTTAAATGGATCTCCCTATTTTTTATTAAATATTCTGGTAGCTCACGTCGAGAGCTTTCCAAAACACTATAATTAAGTTTTTATTAAGTACTTTCCGAATTATAAGGCTTGAAATCATTTATTAATTTTACATAAACGTAAAATATCTTGTAAAATATTCATTTTTCGATTATCTTACCTTAATACTTTTATGTACAAAATAATGAGAGGAATCAATTGGTGTAAAGAAAAAACATAGTTGCTTTTAAGAAAAAAATATGTAATTTGCAATTAACAATTACATATTTTTTTTAAAACAACTATGTGTTCCTCTCATTATTTTGTACATAAAAGTATTAAGGTAATCGAAAAATGAATATTTTACTAGATATTTTATGGTTTATGCAAAATTAAGAAATGATTTCAAGCTTCATAACTCGAAAAGTACTCAATGAAGAAATACTTTATTATAGTGTTTTGGAAAGCTCTCGAGATGAGCTACACGAATATGTAATAAAAAATAGGGGGTTCCATTTAAGAAATTGAAGGTGACCTTTACGTCACCTTTAAATGACTCTCCAAGGTCAAATCATTGCCACTATCTGATGGCCCTCTTCAAGCCATACAACTTTTGTCTGAAACATTTCTTTCTAAAGTGCATACTTTATGAAATATTCGACCGGTCCGGGACTTTTGGGACACCATGTATATATATATATATATATATATATATATATATATATATATAATATTATAAATTATATTATATATAATATTATTTTAATATTATATAAATTTATTTTATATAATATTATTTTAATATTATATAAATTTATATATATTTAGATATGTACATGTATTAATATAAGAGAAAAAATTATATATTATATATATTATATATTATATATTATTATCTCTTCTTTATTGCAGTAAGCTATATGATATTAGTTAAAATATTGTTTATATAAAATTTACTTTAATATAATATAATTTTGCATTACTCGTGTTTTACAGAAAGGTACAAGAGCACCTCAAGCTGCTGGAAAGATTCATACAGATTTCGAAAAAGGATTCATTATGGCAGAAGTGATGAAATTCGAAGACTTCAAAAACGAAGGCTCGGAAGCCGCAGTAAAGGTATTTGAAACAACTTTTCATATTAAGCAAGATTAGATAATAAATTTTCCCTACATTTATTATATATTTTTTATTTTGTCATTAGGCTGCAGGAAAGTACAGACAACAAGGGCGTGCTTACGTAGTCGAAGACGGTGATATTATTTTCTTCAAATTTAATGCAGGTGCCGGATTAAAAGACGCGAAAAAGAAGTGATGGCACGCATTTCTCATGTTGTTGCTCGTCCATCTGTACCTCAACATGATTCTGTTATCCTGTTGTACGCATCATCCCCGCGTCAATTAATCCAACTCATTTCTCGATTCTCCCCGACTTTTTCATTCATGTATACACGTCAACGCGAAAATGATAGTGATGACAATTATTTTTATATTCTATAGTCATCTAAGTCATACAGAATTAATCGCGTACGTGCTCATGATATATTTCAGTGATATTTTATTGGAGTAATATTTAATGTTTTTTTTGTTCAAAATTATATGCATAAAATAATGCACTCATATCCACATGATTCTTTTACAAGTAATGAAGAAGAAGAAGAAAACCGCATTTTCATATTCATTACTATGTACATAATTAATAGATTTAAGCAACTAAGTTGCATTCTGCACTTTTTGTCTTTGGTGTAAAAATGCGCGAATGAGAAAGAAAAGAAAAAGAACGGGGACGATATGTACGTAAAACATTTCTTTGTACGCTTCTGTATTTATTCAATGACTATTAAACTTATAGATTGGCATAAAAAGATTTTTTAATAATCTCACAAGTTTACCGTTCGGTAAATCTGGTCATCAAGTTTTATTTTTCTTTTGAATAAAAAATTTTAAATACATATTTGTGAAAGCAATTGCATCGACTGAGGTGAATTCTATTCTATTTATACCTTTTTTTCAATATCTATATTTATATTATTTCTCTCTTTTCGATAGTATACTATATATCATTTTCAATAACACTTTTTGATCAATTTTCTGTGATATTTTTAAAAATACATCTCTAATGCGATAAAATATATTGTTATAAACTATCAATTCTAAGCATTGTGCTGATATTTCGATATAGAAATAATTTTTAAAAGATATACTAATAAATGTGAAAATATATAATTTTTTTTTACATCTTATATAAGAATACAAACAATATCTTGTAAAAATAGTAAATTGATAAAGGCAACAAAAAATCAAATAGATTCAGCATGATTACAAATCAGGAATCTAATATTTTAATTTTACATATAGTAACTATAGTGCATCTATTTGTTATTAATGTTTTGCAAATATATTGATATGATTGCAAATATATTATTGACACGATTTATTAGCGTGTCTAAACGATCTTTATGTATTTTTATGAAAATTTATTTTGTATATAATTTGCAAAGAATTTGCTGGGTACATATCTTGTCTTAGTGTTACCCACTGAGAGATTTTGTAGAATGGCTACGTAGTTCGTTAGTTGTATTTTAAAATCAGAGGCGTCTCGATCACAGTTCGCGCCAAAAAAGAACGTCGGTAACAATGCATTTTAAATGTAATAAAGAAAAAGAAAAAACCCTTCTTTTTCTCATAGACAGTGTTTGCTGGTATCTAGATAAAATTATCTAGATAATCATCTAGATAAATAAATGGATTATCTTTATCTTTAACTAGATAAAGAATACAAAGTATCTTTATTTTTATCTTAGATGAAAAATATATGTCATCTTATCTAAAAATTGTCTAAGATGACGTTTTCATTATGCAAAAAAGTTTTCCAGGCAAGCTTCTAAAAATCCATCTAAAATATCTAAAATATATTTTTTATATTATTATTATTAATATATTATAAATATATTATTATTATATTATTAATATATTATAAATATATTATAAATATAAATTAATAAATAAATATTTATCACATCATTTATATACCTTTTTGCTATTATTTAAATATTCTTTAGGAAAAGAGAAAAAATATGTGTTTATGATTTTAATATCCCATTTATAATCTGCGTCACATTTTTTACAAATATTTATAGTCTTCTAAAATAAACAAAAATATCTAGATAATTATCTAGATTATCACAATAATTATCTCATCTTTCATCTAGATTAAGTAAAAGCAAAATCATCTTTTATTCTCTCATCTAAGTTAAATTTACAGATTTTTATCTTTATCTTTATCTAGATAATTTTGAAAGATTTTGATCTTTATCTTTATCTAAATAATTTTGAAATTATCTACAGCAAATACTGCTCACAGAGAATTTAAACTTTATCTTAGTTTATTTTTATTATGTTCGTTTATGGTGTTCGTTATAAAAGGACAAGCATATTTCTCTTTATAGGATGTAAAAAAATCTGACAAATTTTTAATATGACGACTGAAATAATACTCAGAAATGTGTTCCATTTTACTTTATATTCTTACTCTCATACTATTTCTCGTATGAAGGATCTCGCGTTTAAATCATGAGATACATCATTTTATGATTATATGCGATATGGTTCATCTTCCTTTCCTTATCAGGATATTGGCCAAAATAAAATATTTAAGATTTGAAATCCTATTTCTCGATCAACTGAGAAGATTTATGAAACAGTTTCTAAACAAATTTACTGTTTCATTTATTGTCACAAAGAATAACCAGGTTCTGAACATTTTTCTTATAATAAGAAATTATTTTTATTTTTTTTTTAATCGGATAATATATAAAATAAATTTATTAAAATAATTTAAAATTATAAAATATACATATAAAACTTTTAAGTTTTAATTATTCTATTTACAAGTGATGTAACAAAGAAGTTATTTTTATTCATTATTGATATAGATGGTGTTAAACATTGTTTATACGTATAGACGTAAACTATTATAGTTGAAGGGATGAATGCCCATTTTGATTAGAACTGATTGACTTAATTAGTAATTAAATATATATAGTAATTAAATATATATACTACATTATGATTTTTCGTCTATTTTATGTAAATCTGTATGCTCGTAATGTTCCTCAGCATTGCTATCTCACTATTCATATTAGGCCATGTAAGAAAAAAGAATATTTATCCTGCGTATTATTATAGAAAACTTTTCATAATAAAGGCAATATTTGACCTCTCCAATTTTACATTACGATTGCAATCGATTTTACTGGGCTCTACTGCAGTATTCAATCGTCGTTGTTAAAAGTTTTGTTGAGAAGTCGAGATTTTAACCATTGATAAAATTCCACTTCTTGCGCAAGAACTCTTCTCAAGGATGCATCTTTAATTCGTAGTTTTAAAGTTACCAAAGTGGGTAGAGTCTCTTTAGATCCTGTATGTAAGAAATAATATACGAAATAATATAACGAAATAATATAATGTAATGGTAAAAATAAAGACAATTTTATTTCGATAAAAATATTACAATAGATGCAATAGAATATTATAATAGTTAGAAAATTATCATAGTTAGAAAAATAAAAATCGATATTAAAGATATTTACACAAATATACTTACGAAATTGATTATAGATATTAATAGCACCATTAAAAAAATAGGGAAACTCGGTTGCGAACGCATTCAGCGATTCCTCCATATAATCCAATATGCCAACAACGGGATACCATCGAATAACATTTGCTTTAGCGCGTTCTAACGCCCACGTGTTATTTCGTTCCCTGGAGAGAAACAACATATATAACATAAAAATCAATAACAGTTAATATCTATCGTATTTTTTCGCAAAAATACTCATTTTTCTTAATCAACATTTAAATAAATTAACAGAGAAATGCAATATATTATGTAAAATTTGTGCAATGACGTTTATTTAAAAAAATCAACAAGAATATACTTACATGCAGCGCGGTTCCTGTCCACAAAAATGTGATATAGCTCCGTGATAAAGCATGCTCTCTTTTCCTTTCCTGTATTAGAATCACACCAAAGTAATATCGTTATTTCAATGTAATATTCTGGCGCCTTTAATACATTTCTCTCTTTTTTTTTCCTAAAAAAAAATAAACAATTTTTAAGAATGAAAAATTATAATTATACCATTGCCAAATTCGTGGATCCAAAGGGTCTCTCACTAAAGATATAAAAGTAGGTCCTTGACGTCCAAATGCCGAAAAATTTAGAAATTTTACGTCTCCATCGAAAGTTAAGGGAATAGCTTCTTGTCTGATGATATTTATAACTTCTTCCACTAATAATTCCTGCGAAATTAAGGACATTCTTATTATTATAATAGAAACAAATTGATTTGCATTTTTACTTGCAAATTTTATCAAATTAATTATAAAGAAAAAATTTTTTTTAATTAATTTTTTTTAATTAAAAGATTTGTTAAAAATATCAACAAGAATAAATTACTAAAATTTGGAAATTTTTTCCAAGGATAGAAAGAAAGAGAGCTAACCTGTTGTAAAGCCGATAAAAATCCGTAATCACTCGTTGGTAGACGTATATGTTTAAAAGCGTTATATCCTTGTAAACGTTGAAGAATCAGTACCATCAATTCGGCGCCTGTACCAGGTATGCGTGTCAGCATAAGAACGTGTTTGTATTTATACGGAATGTCACCCAATTCGGCGAGGGAAGGTGTGACATATCGACGTGTCTGTTTGAGATATAATTAAAATATAATCATGTAAATCATTATTTTATACAAATGTTATATTTTGCAACGTAAAAGAATTTTTTAACATTTTATCTCTTGCAACGTAAAAGAATTTTTTAACATTTTATTTCTTGTTTTTAGGTGAAAGATATAAAAATAATTATTTATAATTAATTATACGCGATGTTCGATTTTATGATGATCGAGTAGGAGATGGGTTTCTGTTGCATCGTGTTTAAACTCGCGGAGAATGCATTCTCCATGTATTACGTAAACACAAATCATTCTTAATATACGTTGCTGAGAAAGATGCATTCGCTGCTTTGAAGCGCTCAATAATTAGATGCAAATTAAAGCAAGAGACATTCTCTAATGCGCGCCTTAATTTGGTATTATACGTATTCTAGTCTTTGAAGATTAAATATTTTCTTAATAAAAGTCTGCAAAATTTTAGCAAATTTTTGCAAATTTTATTTATATTTTTATTTTATTTTCATTTTATTTGTATTATATTTCTATTACATTTTTATTTTATTTTTATTTATATTTTTATTTTATATTTTTATTTTATTTATATATTTTTATTTTATTGAAATAAATTGAAAAATTGAACGCGATTCGCAATCGGCGATTTGATTTTAATCGATATTGTGTAATTTCACCTGGCTGCGAGCGATCCATCGATCATCGACACGTGATTCTTCGTGACGTTTTTTGAATGAGCTACGTTTTTCAGTGACACTCGAGAGTTCAAGCAGATCCACAGACGACCTCGCGTTTAAAGCGATAAAAACCATTGTCAGACACATTGGAAGCAAAAACAGAAAACCGCGTTTCCGACGCATTTTTTAATTTTTAATCGATTATTTTTATTAAGACGAATATTATAATATATAACAAATATTACAAATATTTTTATTAATACGTCGTATCTTATTTACGATATAATTTTATTTGTGGACATTTTTTTTCTTTTCGAAAAAAAAAACCGGTAGATCAATTGAGATTAAGAGTAAGTACTGACTCTGCCGAGTAACTGAGGAGAATGTTAGTGGGTCAGGCTCTCCGCAAACTGCATGATCCCCACATCTTCGTTGTAGCCTACGACCCCCACCGATCGGGTGAAACGCAACATTTCACTTTCCAACACGTATTTGTATAAACGCCTTGGCTCGTCTACAACTAATGTCTAGAAATATCCTTTTCATTCTAACATTGAACAATGTATATATTATAAATATCATTGAAATATCTTACGTGCCACAGTTTCGAGTCTTGAGAATAATCGAGTGTCTCGACGAAAGGTCAGGAAATAACAACTATCTGAAAAAAAACGGAGCTTGACATTTTTATTTCTACATCTTAAAGATTCAATTGCGCACAGATATGTCCTAACAATTGCACCATAAAATTGCTTATTCGGTGACTTTTTTAGTGTAGTGATCCTTGTTTAAGGATGTTTTGTATTGTACAATTCCAGCAAAAAGTAGCTGAAAATCAATATTGACGAATATTCACTTGGTATATTTTGAGTGTTGTGAGAAATGAGTATTATTTGAGAAATTGTGTGGAATATTACAATTTAATCTTAGCTACAGTGCAGAGATGTATTTTTTAATATTTATTGCGTTTTTACTGAAATATTCCGAATTTTGTTCATCGAAATGATTAACTTTTGGCAGAAAATTTCGCCTTGTGACAGATACATGGCTAACTTCATTAAATTATATTTAATATATTTTTAACCAGTTAATACTTGTATAATATTATTTGACTAAATATTTCCCCTGTATCTAAACTTTTGTAAATTTTAAACAAATTCTGAATATTATTTCCATGTGTTTTTGTCATTTGAATCGACGTGGTTATACGTTTTTTATAAGAACACATGTTAATTCGGTGCAAATTAAAATCCTTATAACTTGTGAACGCTTTAGTGAATCGAATAAAAATTGTACTGAAGATTCTAAATATATGTAAGGACATTCTGTAAAATTTTCATTAAATTCTCAATATTTTGAAAATAGGTACAAAACATCCTTCACCAGTTCACTGGTAATGGCCCATATGTGGCCAAAAAAAAGCCACAACTGGTAATGGTCCAAATATGTCCACTATGAATAACTTTGCCAATTTTCAACGAATTTGCACAAAACTTACATACATCCATATTTTTCGGGTCGCTAATGACAAATTTGGGATCGAAATTTTAAAATTCAAATCATGACGGATTTAGTATGGTGAATTAATTTTGTTATTCTATTATTATATTTGTTATTCCATTAGAGGAGATTCAAATTCGATATGTTCAAGTTTGAATGTCTTGAACTAATCTGTTATTTGCGATCAAAAAACGTACCGAGTATGATATATTTCAATAATGCAATATCAAAATTAATCACTAGAAACCGCACTGAGAAAAATCGTTTGATTGTACCAACAAGACATATATGATTGAAGGCATTTTGGGTAAATCAAACAAGAATTTCTAGTTATCATGATAAGACTCGATTTTTATAACTAGAACGTTTAATAGATTTTACTATTTTAAGGATTTGGTTAGTATTTTCTGGTTGGATCTATAAAATTTCTTGCTACATTAATTTCTTTGCTTGCTAGGCGGCGAGTCACTCTTAACTTAACTCGTATTCAATATTTGCCATAAAATGTATATAAAGAACTAGTATTAATATTAAATCCAAAGTATATTTTTTTTCTCTTACGAACAGTAGTGTCAGAAAGAGGACGCTAGCTCTCTGATTGTGCGTGTTTGAACTGCATTCTCTTCTTGCATTACTGTTTATCAGTTTAATTTCTAACAAACTGAATTTAAAATAATTTATTCAATAATCTGGATTGAATTTATCTAATAATTTTGTTGAAATTCAGAATAATAAACAGACTTTTGAGATTAAATGGAAAAAAATTTTAGACGCCTTGATGCTGGCGAGTTTAGTATTATTAACCAGAAAATTTGGTAAATTTAACAGGAAGAAATTGATCAGATTCATCTGGTAATTCCTACAAGAATTCTGTCCATTTTCCAACAAACATACTGGTTGAATCTATCAGAATTCTAATTAATGCAATCAGATTTTTTTTCAGTACACTGTTTATCAGTTTAATTTCTAACTAACTGAATTTAAAATAATTTATTCAATAATTTGGATTGAATTTATCCAATAATCTTGTTGGAATTCAGAATATTAAACAGACTTTTGAGATTAAACAAAAAAAATTTTAGACGACTTGCTGGCGAGTTTAGTATTATTAACCAGAAAATTTAATAAATTTAACAGGAAGAAATTAATCAGATTCATTTGGTAATTCCTACAAGAATTTTGGTTTGTCCATTTTCCAACAGACATACATGTTAAAAAACATTTTGTATTTCTGTTAAAATTTTCTCGTGTAAAAATTTTTGTGTTAAATTTTTAACATACTCTTATGTTAATGTAATATATTATCGTTGCGTTATTTTGACATTTCTGCGTTGAGTTAGTATTCACCGTTTCTAAGAGTTAAAACAACACAATTAATATGGAAATGTACGAATTTTTGATGAAATATGTTATATGTTATATTACATATATTGTCATATGTTATATACAACATATGTTATATGTTAAAATTAACAGATAAATTGTGTTATTTTTCTCTCTATAACAGTTTCCATATGTTAAATCGACATATCTCTTCTGTTATTTATCATAAAAATGTAAGAATAACATTTTCTTTTAATTAAATTTAACATTATAAATACGTTAATTTAACATAAATTTTATTTCCAGATAAAGTTTAAGTGTTATATTTTTGTGTTAATTTTTAAACATATTACTTATGTTATTTATTTACATATTTGCCTTCTGTTAAATTAAACTTAGAGTGGATAAATTCACATTAAAATTAGAGTGGATAAATTGGGACATGCGAAATATGTTAAATTTAACACAAAATTTTTTACTGTATACTGATTGAATCTACCAGAATTCTAATTAATGTAACCAGATTTTTTTCTCAGTGCGCCATATTGGATCTGCCAGTTTAAATTTTGCAATTTTGTCTATAATAGATTCATCATAAGAGCCTCAAAAAATGCGAACATATCGAATTTGATCTTCTCCATAATGAAATAAGATTAGTCCACCATATTGGATTCGCCATTTTGAATTTTGAAATTTCGACCTGGATTCTTCAGCAGCAACGCAAAAAACCCCTTATAAATAAACTTTCGCGTAAAATACGAATTTATTTGCTCTCACCAGTTTCGACAAACGTTGATCTCGAATGTACCAGTGAACTGGTTAATCCACGATGGAACGAAAGCGGAGATACACCCGTTCGACCGTTTGACGTTTGACGTATCGCGCGTTCAAAAGACGCCGCGCCGCGGCTGTCAAACGTCACAGCCGGTGCGGAGACCGGCCGGTGCGGTGGCGCCTGCTGTCCACGTGTTTACACGCTCTTGGTGATCCCTCTACCTACCTATCTACGGATGGGTCTATATTTGTAAACACGAGAGCAACGGGTAAGATGGATGTATACGAGTCGCGGAAGAAGGATTGGGAGGATTTGGAAGTGTCGCGCGAGGAATTGGACAACATAACCGAGTGCCTGAAGAAGGAGGAATTCCGCAAATTGCTAATCGAGTACGCGGAGGAGGTGTCCGATCCGGATAACAAGAGGATCTACGAGAGGGAGATCGCGCAGCTCGAGAAGGAACGAGGCGTTGATGTGACGTTTGTCAACCCCGAGCCCGGTTACGTCATAAAGACCAGCGTGAACGGTGACAGGAAGTGTTTCCTCAACATCAGCAAGAACACGGTCGTCGGTCGGCCCACCAGTCAGCCCTCCTACGAGCAAGGCCACCGCGGTCTGCAGTGGTCCATTCCGTATACGTTGATACCGCCACGCGATGACTTCGACAAGAAAAACGTGCGATGCACGGTATTCGACGTGGTTTTTCACCCGGATACCATTTACCTGGCGTCCAAAAATGCCCGATTCCGCGAGATCGTCAATAACACAGCGATGGATGGTGTGGAAAATAACTTTAAGGTTTATACTCACTTAAGATACAGCGCGTCACATTTTTTTTTTCCAATAACATATTGTTATGCATATAAAATTATAAAGTAACATATAAAATACATATAAAATACATATAAAATATATAAATAATATAAATAATATAAAATAATATAAATATAAAATACATATAAAATACATATAAAATTATAAAATAACAAAATACATATAAAATACATATAAAATAATAAAATAACATATTGTTATTTTTGTGGGTTTTTGTTAGGTGAAATTGGACAGGAAGAATCTCAAGTTTCCCAAGATCAGCTTCAAAGGAATAACTCATCCCACAGTGATCAGGAAACCATCGAAGGAGCCGCCAAAGGAGCCGCTGGATATAGAGCCAGAAATCTATCAGAAGCTAATGTCAAGCTACGACGAAAGTCGCGAGAGTCAGTTAAAAGGGAGAGAGGAAAAAGCGCAGCGTGCTCCACCAGTTACTACTTATTACAAGAACAAGCAGAGTGAATCCATGGATGAGAAATATGTTATTCCTAAATTTTCTGTAAAGCATCAGTTTGATGTAGAAATGGAAGATTTTGTTTTAAGTAAAGATGCAAAGATGTATGCTACAATTCCAAAAAAATTTGTGCTTACTATTGATCTGCCTTTATTGAAAAGTGCTAGTGACTCGACACTCGATATACATGAACAGTCTCTTACCTTGAAAAGTGAGAAGCCTGCAAAGTATCTGCTGGAACTTCCGTTACCGTATCCTGTAGATGGAGATAATGGAAATGCTAAATTTGATGCAAAGTATAAGAAATTAATTGTGACTTTACCAGTCATTCGACCCTCGATAACAACAATGGATAGCATAGATAGGCCAGACAGCGGAGTTGATAGTGATCAGAGTAGTCCTGTACCGATAGCATCTAAAGATGATGAAAACGATTTACCTAAAATAGAGTTAGTGAAGGAATATGAAAACCTGTCTAAAAATTTAGAATTTGAAGAAACGAGTGATATAGATAAAAGTGAAGATACTGCGTTACGGACATGTAATGTGACAGAAATTATCGATGCATTTATGAATCCTAATATTAAATACAATTTTCCTCCATACTCTTGTAATATTTACAATAATCAGTTAGCTGTTACGATAAATGTAAAAAATGTCAATCCTGATGAAATATGTCACAAAATTTTAGATAATAACGCAGGGATACATATCTTATTGACATCTATAGGTGCTGGTTTTTTTGCACAATATTATTCATTATGTCTTAAGATAGAAGATGGTTGTATTGAACCAGAAACACTTTCAATTGAACCATGGGACAATAATGTCGTGTTTAGCATAACGGTGCGGAATATTGAGAATGTAACACAATATTTTGTTGGTGTGGACATGGAATTTATGGAAGCAAAGGATCTCCCTACTACAGCTTCATTTACAAACAAGTTCAAGGAATTAATGGTAATATAAAATACATTAATATATTTTATATTAATTAATTAAAATACATTAATTAAAATACATTAATATAAAATACATTAAACATATATTTGTAAATACAGGGTGGCCCCGAACGTTCCAGCCAGACTTTGAGATCTTACAGGAAATTTAATTCTGAACAAAAAATTTTCTATAAACATGGGTCGAAAAATGCTTCCTTAAGAAGTTATAGCTCAAAAATTTCTGATGAAGGAAGAGCAAAAGGTGAAAAGAAAATGAAATAAAAAGAAAATGAAACTAAATAAATTTCTTGAAAAAAACGATAAAAATAAAAAATAAAAATCTTTTTCTTTTATGAAAATAAAATAATTTTTTTTTAACTAATTTTTATTTTATTTTCATAAAAGAAAAAGATTTTTATTTTTATCGTTTTCTTTAAGAAATTTAGTTTCATTTCTTTTTATTTCATTTTCTTTTCACCTTTTGCTCTTCCTTCATCAGATGTTTTTGAGCGATTACTTCTTAAGGAAGCATTTTTCGACCCATGTTTATAGGAAGTTTTTTGTTCAGAATTAAATTTCCTATAAGATCTCCAAGTCTGGCTGGAACGTTCGGGGCCACCCTGTATATAAGATAGTTTACATTAATAAATCATTATTATGATTTTGTACAGGCTTGTACGGATGATGAACAGATGGAGAGACAATTTTCTGTACAGCCGGAAGGTGATAGCATTGTTATAGATATTCGTTCAAATCAGCAGGATTCTGATGATGACGAAGAGCAGGAAAACGTAAAAATGATAAAACAACAGCAAAAGAAAATGCATACAATCGAAAAAGCTAGATCAGTCTCGGAAAGCAGCGGAGATGAATTGGCAAGTAGTAATAGTAGTGTGAGATCCTCGAAAGGGATATTAAAGTCACGTCGTATCCGTGATTTCTCGCGTTCCATGTCCGAGTCAAGTGCCGACGAAAATAGCCTTCCTGCATCGTGCACGGATTATCATTATGATTTCACACACGATGTTAATTCTGAATCGGATTGTTCCAGTTTAAAAAAGACTGTACGATTTAATGACGTAGTATCACGACAATTATACAGGTATTATAATGCAAAGAAATCAACAATTATCCAGGATGTCTACTCCCCGGAAAACATGAAACATATGAAATTTTCAGAATTTCTCTTATATCTGGAAAAATCAGGGAATTCTCAGAATTTTATTGGAACTCGGGGAATTTTCCCAAAAAAATTTCTAATAATGTAAATAGTCGGCAAGCCAATTATAAATGCGTTTAAAATGTAAATATCTAGTCATATTTATATATTTTAACAAAATATTGAATATGTAAGTACTTTATTATAGTTTTTCGTGATAAAATGAAAAATATTACGCAACTGAAAAAATTATCTTACAACCCTAACAGCACACATGTCCGAAAGATGTCCAAAGGATATCCATAGGATATCCCGATCTCCTATGGATATCCTTTGGACATCTTTCGGACATGTGTGCTGTTAGGGAAGTTATGTCTTCTGAAATATTCTCTTTAATAGAATTTTAAATAAATATTCTCGCATATTGGAATTTTAAATTAACTTAAGATTTTCTAACAAATATTTTAAACAAACTTGAAAGATCGGGGAATTTTCAGAGAATTTTTTTACAAGATTGATTTGAGTAGACACCCTGTTATTTCTTTTTGATTAAAAATTATATTAATAAACTCTCATTCAATTTAATTATAATTTTTTTAGGTCCAATTCAAGTATTCTTGGACAGAGAAAGAAGAATCAACGTAAATTGCGAAATAAGAAACGCGCGCATGATCGTCGAATGAGCGAAAGTGAGAATTCTGAAACCGAAGAACGAGACAAATACAAAACACATTACAAACGTTCGCCAAACGAAGAAACTTCGGAAATTGTGAAACCTATACTTGCTCGAGACAAACAGTCTCAACAACAAAGAACCGCTAATATCGAAATTGCGAAATCAAAAACGGATGATAAACATTCTTTGCATCAGCGTAGTAAATCTAATTTCGAGGAAAAATTTACCGAAGATGTTCAAGTCGATGCTTCAAATAATGCCACGAAGGATGCAGTTCAATTGGAATTTAAAAATGATTTAATATTTGACCTCGATATGTAGATTTAGATATAATACGAGATTAATTATGCATAATTGTGATTACATATATAAAGCTAGTAGTTTCAGGATTAGTATTAAAATTGCTTAGATGGGGGAATAATTTTCTAGTATTAGAGAAGATTAAATAATTAAGAAAATAGGATGAATCAAAATTGTTAATATATCTTTAAATAATTGACATATATTAGTAGTAAATATAGCATTAAAAGTAATTTAAATCAGTTTATTAAATTTTTGCTTAATATATAAAATGTATAACAAATCTCGAAAAATGATTGTTGAGTTATATTGATAGTGGCGATGTGTGAGATATTTTTAATCGGAATCTTTAAAATTACAGCTTGAATTGTCACTGAATCGATTTCAGGAAAAGAATATAAATTCTCTTTTCATGCCTGTTGAATATTACTGCCGTACAATATATGTGATTTTTATGCAGATAATGCTTGATGAAATCAAGAATAAATAGAGATAAGTTGCAGATACTTTATGATAGAATTATATATAATTTTAATTGAAATTGTATCATGTGCATTTATGTAAAAGTATATTTAGTTCATGTAATACAAAGTGCTTTATAAAGCATATATATGAATATACAGATTGCAACAAACGCTTGTCAAAAGATATATATGTATATGGTGATAAAAATACGGTTCTGTTTCGATAATTGTTAATTATGTGGCGCAGAAAAAATTTTTGGTGCCTAACTCTAATTATCTAAGTCATTATATTATCGAAAGTCATCTATTTAAAACAAAATTTGTAATTCAACGGAATATGTCGCAAAATTAAAAAGTTTATCAATTTTATATATTATATATTGATACTTTGTAATTAATATAAATGTACATATAAATTATTTCGATCAGGTAATTGAGAGAGGTACGACGAAATATTTACATATCTGCGCTCTTAATATGTTCTATTTCTATATTATATACTGCGCTTAAGGATTTTTGCTCTGGTGAGCAATCCACATAAATCAACAAGATATTTAAATAATATAATCCTGTATTAATATAACAAAAGGATGAAATAAATAAAATGTTTTTACAGGCAAGATGTCTCTTCGCTCTCTAAATTAATCGTTAATTATATTATTTTAAAAAAATATTAAATATGATTTAAAAATTTTAGAATAAATAATTTTTTCAGCTTTGCACAATATGTATATTTATTTATAATTGATTCTAAAAATTGATTTTTCCAATCTTATACAGATACTGTGCTTATAAATTATAGATAATTATTACATTTCTTAAAATTATCACTGTACGAAGATATTAATCTTTGATATCAGGAATCGGTTTTTCGAATGAAGTCGATTTAAAAAATAAATGGAAAATATGTCAATATTATATATTGCGCTTAATGATTTTTGTTCTGGTGAGCAATCCACATAAATCGACAAGACATTTAAACAATATAATCCTGTAATGATATGTATAACAAGGATAAAATAAATAAAATGTTTTTACAGGCAAGATGTCTCTTCGCTCTCTAAATTAATCGTTAATTATATTATTTAAAAAAAATATTAAATATGATTTTAAAATTTTAGATTAAATATTTTTCATCTTTGCACAATATGTATATTTATTTATAATTGATTCCAAATTGATTTTACCAATATTTTATACAGATACTGTGCTTATAAATTATAGATAATTATTACATTTCTTAAAATTATCACTGTGCGAAGATATTAATCTCTGATATCAGGAGTGAATCGGTTTTTCGAATGAAGTCGATTTAAAGAATAAGTGGAAAATATGTCGATCGTACGTCATGATGACGATGTATTTGCGAGACATCAGGGGGTGGTTGTCGGGTCGTGCAAAGCTGTGACACGACGTGAAAAGCAGGATCGTAGGGCAACAACGGGGCGAAACGTGTGTGATCGAAAAGTAGGACGCGGCCTACGCGGTGGAAACCTGGCCGAGCCACGGATGAGAGTTCGAGACCATCGATCCCGCTACTTGCGGAGGGTTGTAAGGTCGTTAAACTCCGCATTGTACCTATGTATCTCTTTCGCCGCATCGCTGTGTACTTCTCCCGTATTATTCTTATTGACGGTCCCATCAGGAGAGAAAAAGAGAGAGAGAGAGAGAGAGATTCGGCCACCCACGCGAATGCTCTAATTTCGTGCGATCGCAATCCTATCAGATTTATCGTTGTCATCAATGCGGATTTATTTTAATTAGACAACCCATGCAGTGATAGCGGGAATCGGCATAAAAAAGGCAATTTTCAAGATTTAACAAACAGCCTTTGTTATGTTTCACGTGACGATAATTCATTCACATGATAACGCCATGATAATGAATTAATCTTTTTCTATACAGCACAGAATATAGCAGCAATATTATTAATATTGTTGTAACATTGCAGCAACATCGCAATATTGCCGCAATATTACTGCAATGTAACAACAATGGTCTGTGCTATATGGGATGGGTTATAATTCGTTAGGGGAGACCGGACAAAAGTAACATTTTTTTATATTATAGGTCACTAATTAATTATCGTTAGAGATATAAAAAAAGATTATATGTTAAAAAACTCCATTTATTGCTCTATTATTATATCTACATGTTTTTATTTTTTATTATATCTATTATTATATCTATATTTATTTCAAATGATAAATATTTAAAGTTATTATAGTTTTTCGCAAGTACGTTGATTAATTTTGTCCTGGAGGTCTGGGATGAAAACATAGAGGATGTAACATAGAGTCTGGGGATAAAAGTACCAGTTCTTATTTTCGGGAAAATAAAATAAATATAACTTTTTTCAATTTAAGGCAACTTTTATTATAATCTTCTATTAAGCAAGATAACTTTTATTATAAATTTTTTTTTTGTATTATATTAAAATAAAAAATAAAATAAATATTTATTTTTATCATCTTTGAAAAACTTAAAAGAAATAATCCTCGTTAAGCAAAATAATTATAAGTAATATCATAAAAACAGGGTTGGGAAATAACGCGTTACTTGTAACGCCATTATCGTTACTTATAGTTACTTTTTTTTAGTAACGAACTGGTAATGTAGTTACATTGTTTTAATAACGATTTTAACAGTTACTTTTACCGTTACTTTTCATATTTTGAAAATACTTATAATATCGTATTTTTGTCATATTCAATTTTTAGTCATCGACTGACATTCATATGAAATTCGATAATACTTCGGATGAAATTTATTGCTTTAAGAGGTGTCTGTGAAGCTGGCACGACACTCTACGAATTTCAAAAAAATGCTAGGAGTTCTGATAGCACTTTTCATAGTTTTACAGTTTCTGATAAAAATTTAAAAAAGTTTCGCATTCTTTATATTAAAAACTCGAAATCGAAAAAATGTGCTAACTTTGCGAATCTAGCACGACACTCTTCTCTCTAAAATACCAAAACATGTTGAATATTATTATTTATAGTAAGAATTTCCTCAGAGAATAGTTCAGCCTATATATGTAATTTCAGATCGATATTCCAAAAATTAATGAATTTTTAATGTTCTTGATCGGCACGACACTTAGTGAAAAGTGTCATGCTGATGATTTTCCTTAGTTTTAACGGCAGTTCTGGACTTCTATAAGAGTTATTAATATTTTAATAAAAAATATTACCAAAGTAAATTTTTTATTTAATTCTATCTTGTTTTAATATTGAAAGTAAAAAATGGGAAAAGTAACGATTCGTTACTTTTGAAGTAACGGTAACGGTAACTAGTTACTTTTAAAAATAAGTAACTAACGGAAACGAGTTACTTTTTTTACTCGGTAACGAGTAACGGTAAAGAGTTACTTTTAAAAAGTAACTTTCCCTGCATAAAATAATTATACTTAATATCACACCAGTTTTGTACTTTTTTAAGTTTAAATAATAGTTTATTTCTAAATAATAATGTAAAAATTGTATGATAACTACTTATACAAAAGAGATTGTTATCTATTCTGAATCACAATTATGGCATACGTAATAAGAATCGCCCTACAGTCATTATGGGACCAGCCCTTATATTTTAGTATTGAAACATGTTACTTTCGTCTACAAAGTGTTATGTTACTTTTGTCCCCAAAAACATTTTTTAGAATAAAAGTATTATAACCTAAATATGCAAGACTTAGCCAAATCAACTATAAAAACTTATGAATACATTTTAGAAGAATACAACCGGCAAATAATACACTTTATTAGGCATAGATACAAAAAATTAAAACAAGAAATACTTAGATAAATAATGCAAATACACTAATTATATTCCTGCATGTGCAACCGGCGTGATTGTTTCTACAATAATTAGCTGAAAAGGAACAGAATTGGGGCGTACGCGTTTGACTATATAGTACAAATTATTCAACATATTGTGTAGTTTATTACGAAGCTTGTTACTTACATGACGTCGTTACTTTTGTCCCTGGTCTCCCCTATATTTATTTACAAATTGCTACAATTTTCTGTGCTATATGGGATGAGTTATAATTCGTTATATTTATTTACAAATTACTGCATATATATGTGCGCCTGATAAATTATAAATTAATAATAAAATTGCATTTTTTCAATAAATTTTGAACGATTGAACCTAGAATTGATGCTTTTAGCTGTGATTGCGAAAAATCAACTATCTCATACAGCACAGAATATTGCAGCAATATTATTAATATTGTAACATTGCAATATTGCCGCAATATTGCTACAATTTTCTGTGCTATATGGGATGGGTTATAATTCGTTATATTTATTTACAAATTACTGCATATATATGTGCGTCTGATAAATTATAAATTAATAATAAAACTGCATTTTTGCAATAAATTTTGAACGATATTGAACCTAGAATTAATGCTTTTAGCTGTGATTGGGAAAAATCCCATACAGCACAGAATATTGCAGCAATATTATTAATTGTAACATTGCAATATTGCCGCAATATTGCTGCAATTTTCTGTGCTGTATGGGATCTCTCCTAACAATCTTCTCTCCTGTTTTCGCTCGATTTTGCGATTAATCTAACGCAATGCTTCGACAATTTTTTATCCAAGAGAGCGATTGTAAATCTCTCGATATAATGTTTATATAGCTTCTTATTTCAAACGCGATTTGAACAAATATCGAAGGAGTATTTGCTCGATGGTCTAAAGAGGATGACCAA